TCACAGATTATAAATGGAAAACCAGCCATGTCGCGGACACAGATGCCTCACTTCCAGAAAAGCTTAACACCTTTTTCACCTGCTTCGAGGAAAACAACACAGACACACCAACGTGGGCCCACACCGCTCATGAGGACTGCGGGCTCCCGATCTCTGTAGCCGACGTGAGTAGGATCTTCAAGCATGTTAACCCTCACAAGGCTGCATGCACAGACCAGTTAGCTGGAATGTTTATGGGCATTTTCAGCCTCTCACTATCCCAGTCTGTCGTCCCCATTTGCTTCAAGATGGCCACCATTGTTCCTGTACCCAAGCAAGCCAAGCCAAGGTAACTAAGCTAAATGACTATCATCCCGTCATCATGAAGTGCTTTGAAAGTCAAGGACTATATCACCTCCAACATACAAGACTCCCTTGATCCACAAAATGTGCATACCACCCCAACAGATACACAGACAACGCGATTGCCGTTGCACTGCACACTTCCCTATCCCACCCTGGCAAGAGGAATACCTATGTAAGAATGCTGTTTATCGACTACAGCTCAGCTTTTAACAGCATAGTGCCCGCCAAGCTCGTCACTAAGCTCGGGGCCTTGGGTCTGAACTCCTCCCTGTGCAACTGGATCCTAGATTTCCTGACGGGCCGACGCCAGGTGATGTAACAACACCAACAACACTCTGCCACGCTGCTCCTCAACACCCCAGAGGTGTGTGCTCAGCCCCTCCTGTACTCCCTGTTCACCAATGACTGCGTGACCATCCAACTCAATCATCAAGTTTGCTGACGACACGACAGTTGTAGGCCTGATTACTAAGAATGACGAGACAGCCTACAGGGAGGAGGTTAGAGCTATGGCGGAGTGGTGCCAGGAAAATAAACTCTCCCTCAACATCAACAAAACGAAGGAGCTTATCATGGACTACAGGAGACAGAAGAGAGAGCACACCCCATCCTCATCGAAGTGGATAGGGTCAAAAACTTCAAGTTCCTTGGCACGCAGATCACTGAGGACCTGAAAATGATCTCGCCACACCGATATCGTGGTGAAGAACCTCAGGTGGCTGAAGAAATTTGGCATGGCCCCATTCTAAAGATGCAACATTGAGAGCATTCTGTCAGGCTGCATCACCACCTGGTACAGCAACTGCTCTGCCCTCAACCACATTGCTCTCCAGAGGGTGGTGTGGGCACGCTGCCTGCCCTCCAGGACATCTACAGCACCCGGTGTTTAAGGAAGGCCAAGAACATCATTAAGGACCTTAGCCACCCACAGACTGTTCACTCGGCTACCGTCTGACAGACAGAGACAGTACAAGTCCATCAGAGCTAAGACCGAGAGACTAAAGAACAGCTTCTATTACCAGGCCATCAGACTGTTGAACAGCCATCACTAGCCATCTACCAGGTGATTCACTCTCACTGAGCAAAACACACACACACAAGCTATCACACACACACTCAAATACACACACACACACAGCCAAAGCTGCTGTCCCATGTTATAGAGACATTCAACCAGTGGTCACTTCCCGTTTCACACTGTGTATTTAAATATTGTATCCCCGATGTAGCACATCATAACATTTCTACTACTGGACATTGTATTTTAGTTACAGTGTTTATACAAACTGTATGTTTATTATACACTGCATTCTTGACATAGTTTACTCTAATATGGCTACTGCTGTACATGTCATTCTTAGCTGATCTTGTGTAAATTCTCCCATTGTACATACGTATAGATTGCATTTGATTACTGCTACAGTGCTTTTTGGGTTGTTAATCAGATTCGTCCCGCTATTCTTGATTTCTTAAAAAAATTATTCGTACATTTTAATTGTTTGACATTTTACTGCATTGTTAGGAGATAGTAACACAAGCATTTGATTTGGCCAGTGTGAGTTGTAACAAATTGAAGATGAACCACATAGAACATCTGGAAATAGAGAAGCACAGAGAGATGAAGTAACACATTACTTCCCTAAACTGTCCAAAAATAAACCCATTTAGTGATTGAAGCGGTAGAAGTGGATCTCTCTGCTAGAGCGTGATTTAGAGAGATGCATCTCCTTCTGGCCTCTGCCCTGGCAAGCCTTGACTACTTCATTATCTGTTCTTATCAACTTGGACCTTGGGTAATGCCAAGTGACAGATGCTGAGTTAATGTTTGCAAACATCATCAGATTTACATGCAGGTCTTGACTGTGTTTGGGAAGTTGTGCTGTGAGTGTATGCCAGGGCATATGGATTAGATGAGTTGGCCCTGGCCTGCTGGGTTGGGCTGGAGTCTGCTGGATTGGTTCCCGCGTCTAATTCAGGTCAGGCTAAACATGAGAATGAGACCTAGTCAGAGCCCCGGCCCCCTGGTCAGCTTTGCGTTGGAATATTGAGGGTCGGGTGGTTTGAGGCTCACTGAATCTCTTACCATCTGGACACAGCTGCCCAGTCCCAGTCCCAGTCACCCCCCCCCCCACCACACACACACACACACACACACACACACACACATACACACACCCCACCCCTCCCAGGGAGGGCCATGAGCTCATCAAGCCCATGCAGCTGAAGGCTGTGAGCAGGTCTTCCTCTCTGTCCTCAGAGGTAAACATCTCTGTCCTGCTCTCTCTCCCTCTGGGATCTGAGATCAGTCTCTCTCTGTGGAGACCTACCCAGCACTAAGTCTCACATACACATGGAGTAATCTCTTTAAAATCAAGCCCTCAACTGGATAGAAGGATATATTTGTAGATCTATTCTGAAATACACTACTTTGCTACATAGGCCTATGTTTAGGGATTTGATTAGATTTTGTTCATTAGGTGACTGATTGAGAAAAAAATGTGTCAGTGCATCCTCTGCTTCTTCCTTTTGATTGTAGATTAAACTAAGTACAGTAAGTTAATTTGATGTGTTCATGTTGTAAATGTAATACAATCTTTTTAAGCTATTTAAAGGCTCTATTCAATCCGTATCGCGGAAATTCAGCGTTACAGAGTAATTTCAATTTAAAGGCAATGTTCCCGCATTAGCGGAGATTGCATTCACGGTAAATGCTGCAGATGTCGTCTTAATAGGAAATTACCTTTACATTTATAGCGCTTCAGTGATACAGACTGAATAGCCCTAAGTGTGTGGCTACATTAAACACTATACATGTATATGACTGTTTTCACATGTGATTTTCGTGAACTGATCAATATGATCCAATCCCTATCTGATCAAGGTTTGTTGCATCTCAAATCAAACATTATTTGTCACATGCGCCGAATACAACAGGTGTAGACCTTACCGTGAAATGCTTACTTACAAGACCCTTAACCAACAATGCAGTTCAAAAAAGGGTTAAGAAAATATTTACCAAATAAACTAAAGTAAAAAATAAAAATAAAAAAGTAATACTCCCGAGTGGTGCAGTGGTCTAAGGAACTGCATCGCAGTGCTAGCTGTGTCACTAGAGATCCTGGTTCAAGTCCAGGCTCTGTTGCAGCTGGCTGTGACCAGGAGACCCATGGGCGGTGCACAATTGGTCCAGCATCGTCCAAGTTAGGGGAGGGTTTGGCCGGCAGGGATGTGGGTTTGTTTCCCACGGGAGGCCAGTATGAACAACAAACAAAAAAACATGTATGCATTCACTAACTGTAAGTCGCTCTGGATAAGAGTGTCTGCTAAATGACAAAAATGTAATACAGTAAAATAACAATAACGAGGCTAAATACAGGTTGGGAGGGTGGTCAATGTAAATAGTCTGGGTGGCCATTTGATTAGTTGTTCAGCAGTTTTATGGCTTGGGGGTAGAAGCTGTTAAGGAGCCTTTTGGTCCTAGACTTGGCGCTCCGGTACCGCTTGCTGTGTGGTAGCAGAGAGAACAGTCTATGACTTGGGTGACTGGAGTATTTTATGATTTTTGGGGCTTTCCTCTGACACCGCCTAGTATATAGGTCCTGGATGGCAGGAAGCTTGACCCCAGTGATGTACTGGGCCGTACGCACTACCCTCTGTGGCGCCTTACGTTCAGATGCAGAGAAGTTGCCATACCAGGCGGTGATGCAACCGGTCAGGATGCTCTCGATGGTGCAGCTGTATAACCTTTTGAGGATCTGGGGACCCATGCCAAATCTTTTCAGTCTCCTGAGGGGAAAAAGGTGTTGTCGTGCCCTCTTCACGACTGTCTTGGTGTGTTTGGACCATGATAGTTTGTTGGTGATTTGGACACCGTCGATGTTAATGGGGGCCTGTTCACCCCCGCCTTTTCCTGTAGTCTACGATCAGCTCCTTTGTCTTGCTCACATTGTATTAAAATGTGTCTCTTATCCATCCACTGTGACCAGATTAGCTAATGCCCCCCTGTATGCAAATTATTTGACAGATATTAATTCAAAATAATATGAATGTATTTATTTTAAGACGAATACTGATGCCATAAGTCAATGGTGCTACCTGCCAATGATTTTAGAGGCCGGTATAATGATTATTTAAATAGTTTGACCATCCAGATCTGTTTACACTTGATTGATATCCAGACACAATGTGTGCCTGACTACCTCCGGAGGTGGTCAGGAAGATCTGATCACAATCAGATCACAAAGTGTATTTGAATCGCTTACACCTCTCTAAAAATGTGGGCACAATCAGAATGTGGACAAGATCAGGACAAAGGATGCATGTTAGCACCAGGTATAAACGGGGCTTAACAACCCACAATTGGAAAGACCATTTTCACCTGCCCATCTGACAGTAGTAGAAACACAATACAGCAACGCCTACCTTGTTATTTGTATTCAAATAGGCAAGTATTCAAAGGCAAGATTTTTTACTGCCATAATGTTGGTCAGTTGACAGGTAATTTAAAGAATGAGCTAGAGTGTTTATGCCAAGATGTAATCAAGAATGTCACTACCTTTTTTAGAGCTGAAACCTAAAGTAAGCATGCATTATTATTTCATTAGTTATTTAAGAATACATCTTGTAAGTTAATAATTATTACAGTCAACACTTTTTCCCTTTTCAATAGAAAAACATTTTATTATTGTAACAATTTCAACATTATTTCAACATAAAGCGCATTTAACAAATGTACATTAATCTGTGGTAGGAGTCCATAGCTGTAACATCACTCAGATCAGATGTACCCGATAATGTCATTGCATATGATAGGTTGTCGGCTGCCTGTCTTCATGAGAGCATTGAACTGGTAGAAGTCTGTTCCTAGTTCGTGCAGGCCTGTGTGGGACTGGTGAAAGAAGGGTTTGCGTGGCTGGAAGCCCACAGGGCAGGACATGCGTTTCGGGGCCGCCAAGGCCCTACTGAGCCTTGTGGAGTCTGCTGGTCTGGCCCTCATCTCCACGCTTTTAGACATCCCCGCCAGCTTCCTCCTCATGTTAACCAGGAGGTCCTTGGCCAGGCGCCGGCCTGCGTGGGGCTTGAGTTCTGCTGGCTCGGGACACTCTGGCAGGTCCATCCAGTTCTTAATGAGGTCAGCGAAGCTGTTGTCCCCCAGCACCAGGGGCTGTCTGTTCCTGCTGCGGCTCAGCAGTGACGTGGTCCAGTCCTCCGGGTCGCTGCTTGCCTCAAACGACGTCCAGCGCTCCAGACAAGCGTCCGACGTGGACTTGGGCCGGATCCGGTCGGCAGGGCCCACTCCCCGGTTGGTTCGGAGGCAGGCGGAGTTAGACACCCGTACGTTCCTGGTCCTCCTGAGCACCACACCCTCATCCTGCCAGGACGCCTCTGAGTAGCCTGAGTCAAACTCCAGACTCTTCTCACTGCTGGGGGAGCTCTGCATTAGCCACTCCTGCCCTTCCTCCTCCACCTCTTCTTCCTCCTCCACGGGGCTGGCCAGGCAGCAAGCTGAGTCATAGGTGCTGGCCTCACTGGCCTCAGAGATGGGCCTACGGAGGCATGTCAGGCGCTCCCGCTGCTGCGTTCCCTTCTGGCAAGCGCGCGTCATGGCGTAGGAACGGCCGGAGGGCTCGCTGAGCGGCCTTTTCATGTGCTTCAGGTCCTGCAGGGACCTCATCATGTACTGCATCTGGTCCACCAGACAGTCTCCAGAGTCCCGCAGACACAGCTAGAGAGACAGGGAGAGAGAGATAACAGGTTAGATACTGACAGACTAAACACTGACTCCTCCATTCATGTTTTAAGAACATTTCAGAACAAAATGTGTAACAGAGCACTTTTACAGAAACTTTAACTGAATGTTAAGGTTAAACCCCCCCCCCCCCCCCCCCCCCCCCAGCACTGCACCAAGATTCTAACCAGCTGAGATCACTCTGCAGCCGTACCACCACCACATATCAAGTCAGACATTCCACCCAACCCTCAGAGCAACTTTATGGAGATGCTTCTCAGCGGCATGCTCTGAGTTTATTAGAACATGGCTTGTGGGAACAGGATGTACAGGGAAACACTCGCTGCCTCTTTTGGTCAGAGAGGAAGTTGGACAAACTAGAGACTGATACATCTTAGAGGCACTCAGCAGTGTACATCATTTACTACACATTAGGATGCCTTTCGGGATTGGCCCATATTGTCCAGCAGGAAATGACATCACTGTTATGGAATTACACAATGGGAGTGAGAAACCCCATGTATGAATCATATCAAAGTCATCACCAAATCATCAGAAATATAGAAGTCTGAATGACACAGTCTGAATGACACAAGTTACCATAGCATTCAGTTACATCACAACAACATTCTCAGGATGTCTTCACGACCAGATATGACTCATGGTTTGGGAACCACCACTGAATCCAGCTTATCACATTAAGGTTAAAAGGTGACAAGGCAACACTTCAAGATCAATCCCCTTCACTCTGGTATTGTGGCTAACAGAACAAAGCCTACTGTATGCAAGGGACTTTTATTGTGTAAAAAACATTTCCCCCCGTACAACAAATCACCAACTGTAAAAAATAACAGCTTTAGAATGATGTCATTTGTTAAACTTTCATTTGTAATACTCCTCCAAGGTCTTTGTATGTTTTGTAGTACGCTTGTTAAGCAAGCTGACTCCACCAATGTGTGTGTTACCTCCCAGCCCTGATCCGTCTCAGGCCAGAGTGCTGTTTGGAGGCACAGTGAGGAGACCAAATCAGCAGAGACGATGCCCTGATGTTATCACAGCTGTGGAAACTTAACCATTTGGCTGTAGAAGAGAGCTCTGTTAAACAGAGTGAGACAGGGACTTGGAGGTGTATCAAACACTGAACGGTCTGCCATGTGCATTGTCCTTCACAATAGTGTGGAGGTCTGACTCATCCAGCTCAATACAGTATGCCGAACGGCTCGGGTGATGGAAATAGTGCCCTAAATTCTAGGAGAGAATCTGAAAGGGGCACATAAATATGTTGCACATTTCCATACAGGATTTACCCCACTGTTTTACCCAAAAGGCTCAGACTTTTCTGTTTCCATCTACACGTGTCTCATGGCTCTGGCGGACCCGCTCTCACTTGGGGCCAAAGCCAGGCCACCGGTACTTTAAAGCTTCATTTACATAACAATGGTTAACTATGAACTTTAACACCTTCTCACAAAGCAACTGTTTTGATGATGCAGAGGTAGTTGATTCTGCTCTTCACAAGTCCTCACTGTCAGCCCTAGCTATGGAAACCCAATTTCCCTAGTGTAACATAAGAGTGTATAGTGTGACACTGGTGTTACAGTTGAAAAGCAGCAAAACTGTACCCTGCAGCCTTCCATTACTGTGGTGTTATTAAACACTGGTAGAGAGCACCAGTCAGTCATTGGTTGAGGTAAGAGATAATGCTCCAAGGCCATATCTGTGCTACAGGAAAGACTCAGAAGGAAGGACACCACACACATGGTGGAGGGAAGCATGTATAGAAATGATAATGACATGTCTATGACATTATTGATCATTGATTGATCATCAATAACACATTTATAACGCACTAATGAATATGTGTATTGCAAGTAACGAGTTAAAATAGATTCTGATTTCCAGACCTGCATCTGCCAGAAATTAATAAGTAGCCTATGTAACAAGTAAGCAATAAACCAGACCGTATTTCTCAAGAAAAGCGTGTTAAACAAATTGATTTACGCCTAAAAGTTAAAAAGGAATAATTACAAGAGTTTGTATTATTTCCAACAAATTGTAGCCTATATCCTACAATTACTCTCAGCTGATCTGTATTGTCTAACTGTCATGGGAGGGTCATAAAGTTATAAGCACCGACCATTTGTTTTTATTTACCACAACATTCAGCCGCTCACTATAATAAACTCTCCGGAGTGCACACTGTTCTGCACAACTGTTAGGAAGAAATGTATACGCACTTCACATAAAATAACAATCTGTTAATGTTACAAAATAAACTTACCATTGCTCTTATCTTTTCTGATTGTATGAATTACAAATTGATTACTTTATCCTGCAAAAAGACAAGAATAATTCAACATACAAAATGATGTTCTCATATAGCGCTAAAGTTGCCTAGCCTATATAGCCTAGCCTATATGATGCATTTCTCTAGATCAGGCTACTTACATCGGTGAATAATTGATTCCTCTAATAGAACAATTAATCCAAACGGTTGCAACTTCCTCAGTAGGTCCGATGTCCACTCTACGCCCCTCAGACAGAAGAGTGCATGTGGTTGTAGGGCTTGCAGTGTACTTTGTGAGCGCAGTCTCTTTCCGCGCAGCCAGTCAACGGCGCGCATCACAGAATCCGCCAATAGCAACACGCCTGAAATACGACCCCACACCTTAACATCGCGTCAAAACATTTCCCTCACCTGAGAAGTTCTGCTTTATTATTTCGGAATTAAAACAATTGCCAGGATTACACTGGCGGGACTTCAGTCATGTGTCAATCATGGACCAGACGATGTTGCTTATTATTTGTCTCAGACTGGGCAAGTAGACACCCAGCCTATCAATCTTCTTTCTGACCATGCCACACAGCACACTCTGGCGCACACAGACGCACTGCAACCGACAGCCACAATTAGGCACAGGGTTTTTCTATTAACATAGACTAATTATCACAGTTTGGAGTACCTAACTATATTGTTTGATGTTTTTTCTATAATAAAAGGCTATTAGCCTACAAAGGCCTACAGACAGTTTTGGATTTAGGCTTCTTGACCTATGTGCAACTTTTAGTTCAAAGTTGCCGCAAAACGCTCATGATGCTTTGTTGAAAAAGGTCACTATAGAGAAATAATAAGAAAAACCTGTATTTCTAACACAGTGAATAAATGGCTCTTCTCATGTGGTTGCAGTTAGGCTACATTTGATTTGAAGCGTATAGGGGCTTGTAGCACCACCTGATGGATTTTCCTGGAACCATGGAATGGCACACAGCTTGAACACTCAAACTACCCCCATCCTATTCCACTCCCTGATTTACCTGAGTGCATGGTACCCTGGGCTGTTAGGAGTCCATTGTTGTCCCAATGCCTACACCATTCGCGGCATTCTTTACTTAATGGAAGTTTTACAGTGCAAATGCTGGAGCTGAACTGTTACCTTGTCCCAAATCAATTTATTGGAATGAGCAAGACTGCACATAATAGTCTGTATAGGCTTAGGCAGATCATGTACATCAACCTCCATTGTCTGTTCCTCATGTATATGAATACTCCATGTAATTGGGGAATGAAGCGTTGTTGGTACATTTTCATTTACATTTGTGTACATTAGGATGGATGTGCAATGTTTACCTTATGGAGATGTTCTACTTACCTTTAAGACCCTAATGAAATGTGATTAGCATTGCTATTCCATGTTCAAAATGACATTCTTACAGTGGAATCTGTAGAGAAGGCATATTATTCTAGAGACACACCAGGAGGATGATCCAAACTTTATTTAAATTAAACAATAGTATGACTTTTAAAGCATTTTAAATATTTACCAAAACACTATCATTGTTCATTTCTTTCTCATCATTGTGATATATTATGTTACCTCTTTATCAGTCGTGTGAATAGTATGGGAGTAGAAATAGCCCTAATTCACACTATGGAGAAAGCAAGTCTCTAGATGTAACAGGTGTAAACATATCAACGCACAAACATACTGCAAAAGACATTGAATGAAAATAAAATATGTATTCAATATTGGTTAAAAAAATCGTGCAGGTTTTTTTTCTTCTAATTTATACTTTTTTTACTTGTTGTAATTATTTTCGAAGGAATGTTACATTGTGACGATTAAATAAGTACAGCTATGATCTATGGACAGTCATGCGTAATGATAAGTGATATGAAACAGCATACATTGTTGGTATGTTATGTAAATATTAGCAAAAACATGTTCCTCTCAATTCATGTTCTCTCTCCATGCTAGTTTCCCTTAAAAAAAGCTTTATGCAATTGAACGTTTTATAAAATGCAGACATCTGTTAAAGTAAAGTGAATGTACAGTACCAGTCAAAAGTTTGGACAGACCTTCTCATTCAAGGGTTTTTCTTTATTTTTACTATGTTCTACATTGTAGAATAATAGTGAAGACATCAAAACTATGAAATAACACATATGGAATCATGTAGTAACCCAAAAAGTGTTAAACATATCAAAATATATGATATATTTCATTCTTCAAAGTAGCCACCCTTTGCCTTGATGGCAGCTTTGCACACTATTGGCATTCTCTCAACCAGCTTCATGAGGTAGTCACCTGGAATGCATTTCAATTAACTGGTGTGCCTTGTTAATTTGTGGAATTTCTTTCCTTCTTAATGCGTTTGAGCCAATCAGTTGTGTTGTGACAAGGTAGGGGGGGGGTAAAAGACCAAGTCCATATTATGGTAAGAACAGCTCAAATAAGCAAAGACAAACCACAGTCCATCATTACTTTAAGACGTGAAGGTCAGTCAATACGGAACATTTCAAGAACTTTGAAAGGTTCTTCAAGTGCAGTCGCAACAACCATCAAGCGCTATGATGAAACTGGCTATCATGAGGACTGCCACAGGAAAGGAAGATCCAGAGTTACCTATGCTGCAGAGGATAAGTTGTGAAGCCCAAATAAATGCTTCACAGAGTTCAAGTAACAGACACATCTCAACATCAACTGTTTAGAGTAGACTGCATGAATCAGGCCTTCATGGTCGAATTGCTGCAAAGAAAGCACTACTAAAGGACACCAATAATAAGAAGAGACTTGCTTGGGCCAACAAACACGAGCAATGGACTTTTTGGTTCCAACCACTGTGTCTTTGTGAGAAGCATGGAGGAGGAGGTGTGATGGTGTGGGGGTGCTTTGCTGGTGACACTGTCAGTGATTTATTTAGAATTCAAGGCATACTTAACCAGCATGGCTACCACAGCATTCTGCAGCGATACACCATCCAATCTGGTTTGCGCTTAGTGGGACTATCGTTTGTTTTTCAACAGGACAATGACCCAACACACCTCCAGGCTGTGTAAGGTCTATTTGACCAAGAAGGAGAGTGATGGAGTGCTGCATCAGATGACCTGGCCTCCACAATCACCCGACCTCAACCCAATTGAGATGGTTTGGGATGAGTTGGACCGTAGAGTGATGGAAAAGCAGCCAACAAGTGCTCAGCATATATGGGAACTCCTTCAAGACTGTTGGAAAAGCATTCCTAGTGAAGCTGGTTGAGAGAATGCCAAGAGTGTGCAAAGCTGTCATCTAGGCAAAGGGTGGCTACTTTGAAGAATCTCAAATCTAAAATATATTTTGATTTGTTTAACACATTTTTGGTTACTACATGATTCCATATGTGTTATTTTATAGTTTTGATGTCTTCACTATTATTCTACAATGTAGAAAACAGTAAAAAGAAAAGAAAAACCCTTGAATTAGTAGGTGTGTCCAAACTTTTGACTGGTAGTGTATTTATCAAAAAAAATAAAACTATATTTTTCTAACCTTGGATAATACTTATAAACAACAAAGAAAGAAGAAAAAAAATAATATATCTGAGATCAAATTCAGACTTGGCAGATATCAATCAAAAAAGAGACCCCTATCATATTAAATATCTAACATATAACGAAAATAAACAAACAAACACAAAAACCACAAGAGGGAGAGGAGGACATGACAGTTGAAAATAAGTGATCGTTGGAATAATTCTGCAAGGCTTTTTCTCCCAAGTTCTCAGTTTGTTATGTTTGTTTCCATATAGAAAAGCAGGAGTTTTCAGGGCCAGTACAGTCTGTCTGTGATGGAGGTTTGTCTGTCCACTCTATCCCCCAAGCAGCAGGCTCGTTCTACAAGCACTCCTGGAGAAGAGAGGCATGAAGAGTCAGCTAGCCCAGATATGGCTGAGCAAATATTTATTAAATATGAGATGTGCAGTTTGTGTATGTATGGTAATGGGTATGGGAAACTTTTTACTGGTAAGACATGCAGGGGGTTTATCTATGATGTACTGCTGAGTCAACTTAACCACCAGAAAACAAATCATACCTCATTTATGTTCTCAGTTATGACTCGGGCCCTGTGTTTTGTGCAGTCATGTGACATGCCTGGATTTTAACCTTTATTTAAAGATTTTTCAGCAAACTGTCCAGCACCATCCTCAGAAAATTGTGTTTGTTTTTGGTGTAATGCTAATTTCTGGATAAGGCTTAAAATACAGGAAAACATTTTGCTATGACACATGATTGCGCAAAACACAGGACCCTAGTTATCACCATACTGACTATCTAGTCCTTTTTAACATGGTCATCTAGTCCCCAAAAGAGATAATGGGCTATATCATCAGCATTGGATTTGCTGTTTGGTTTTCCCCTAATCTTTGTCCTCACCTTAGCTCCTCCTCTGGCCTGCCTCCCCTCGCCCCGCCTTTAGAAGAGACCACAGTCCTTCAGGTTGTTCTTGATGATGACGTCGGTGACGGCATCAAAGACAAACTGGACATTCTTGGTGTCGGTGGCGCAGGTGAAGTGGGTATAGATCTCCTTCGTGTCCTTCTTCTTGTTCAGGTCCTCAAACTTAGTCTGGATATAACTCGCTGCCTCGTCGTATTTGTTGGCTCCTGAGTAGCAAGGGATAAAAATAGTAAAAATAAATAAAACATTATAGCATGTGATGAGATGCCAGACATTACAATTGATTGATTCCAAGATAAAACACTATTAATGAATTATAAGTTGACATCTCTTAGAAATCATCACTGGTAAGCTCAATATCCCCCAATATTCTGTCACTGTTTCAACTGCTGCTGATACCATCAGTAATAAACGGCTAGAGCTACTATTGCAGCTGAAGTAGCTATAGCCTCAACAATCACAACTACATGATTTCTCTGTCAGAGTGCACTGCAGCTGCTTTATGTTGCAGTGCTACAGACCCACTGGGCACACACTGGTTGAATCAACGTTGTTTCCACATCATTTCAATGAAATTACGTTGAACAAACGTGGAATAGGCTTTGAATTTATGTCTGTGCCCAGTGGGGATACATTGGTAAGATTCTCTACCTGTGTACTCGGGGTAGCAAATAGACAAGGGGCTGCATGTAATCTTCTCCTCAAACAGATCCTTCTTGTTGAGGAAGAGGATGATGGAGGTCTCTGTGAACCACTTGTTGTTGCAGATGGAGTCAAACAGCTTCATGCTCTCATGCATCCGGTTCTGGTAGACAGACAGACAGACAGACAGACAGACAGACAGACAGACAGACAGACAGACAGACAGACAGACAGACAGACAGACAGACAGACAGACAGGCAGACAGGCAGACAGGCAGACAGGCAGACAGGCAGACAGACAGAGCCAGACAGATAAATACTTGGTCACATCGCCTCCAAGGACAAAGGATAAAACATCAAATCTGCCACCAGGGGGCAGTGACTCCTCACATTTGAAATCTAGCTGTATAGGCTAGTGGTACAGTATGTATTTTGTGAATGTGTCTATGCTTTCTCCTCTCTCACTGCAGTAGTAGAGATAGAGAAGCTGAGAGTGTCTTTGTGTTAGGGGGATGGTGAGAGGAAGCATATTGTTCGCACACTGATAAAAATGGATTATTGTGCCATAGAAAAAAGGGACCAATAAGAAGTAAATCAGGTGAACGTCTATATAACATCCATAGAAATATATCAATGGTCTATTTGGTCCTAAGAATTAGTGAGCTATAACTGCTTAACAAGACTATTGAATTAACGTGGGATCACAAAATGCAGTGTCTGTGAAGTAGGATGGCTCTTTCCATCTTATTCTTTCCTGTACTTACATAAGCGGTGTATTGATTTGGTGCTTCACACCAAAGTGAAGGAAACAAATGGATCATTGCACAGGAATTTGATGATATCTTAGCAGATTTAACTGCTCTTCAGGTTATTAAGTCCTCAGCCCACACTTACTGTAAATATTGTGTGAGTGGTATATCAGTGGGGTGCCAGGACAATAACCTCTCCCTCAACGTCAGTAAGACAAAGGAGATGATCATGGACTACAGGGAACGGAGGGCCGAGCACTCCCCCCATTCACATCGACGGGGCTGTATTGGAGCAGGTTGAGAGCTTCAAGTTCCTCAGTGTCCACATCACTAAAGACCTATCATGGTCCAAACAAACCAACAGAGTCGTGAAGAGGGCACGACAACTCCTCTTCCCACTCAGGAGCCTGAAAAGAGTTGGCATGGGCCCTCAGATCCTCAAAAAGTTATACAGCTGCACCATCGAGAGCATCTTGACTGGCAACATCATCTTGACTGGTATGGCAACTGCTTGGCATCTGACCGCAAGGTGCTACAGAGGGTAGTGCGTATGGCCCAGTACATCACTGGGGCCGAGCTACCTGCCATCCAGGACTTCTATACGAGGTGGTGTCAGAGGAAGGCCCAAATAATTGTCAAAGACTCCAGCCACCCAAGCAACAGACTGTTCTCTCTGCTACCGCATGGCAAGCGGTACCAATGTGCCAAGTCTGGAACTAACAGGACCCTGAAAGGCTTCTACCCCAAAGCCAAAAGGATGCCCAGACTACCTGAATTGACCCTTTTTTTAACTATCTCTCCTACATGCAATCTCCATAGACAAAAATTGGCAGTAGAATGGCCTTACTGAAAAGCTCAGTGACTTTCAACGTGGCACCGTCATAGGATACCACCTTTCCAACTGTAAGTGCTGTTATCATTAAGTGGAAATGCCTAGGAGCAGCAATGGCTCAGCCGTGAGGTGGTAGGCCAATCGTCTGTCCTCGGTTGCAACATTCACCACCGAGTTCCAAACTGCCTCTGGAAGCAATGTCAGCACAAGAACTGTTCATCGGGAGCTTCATGAAATGGGTTTCCATTGCCGAGCAGCAGCAGACAAGCCTAAGATCACCATGCGCAATGCCAAGCGTCGGCTAGAGTGGTGTAAAGCTCGCCGCCATTGGACTCTGGAGCAGTGGAAACACATTCTCTGGAGTGATGAATCACGCTTCACCATCTGACAGTCCAACGGACGAATCTGTTTGGCGGATGCCAGGAAAACGCTACCTGCCCCAATGCATAGTGCCAACTGTAAAGTTTGGTGGAGGAGGAATAATGGTCAGGGGCTGTTTTTCATGGATCGGGCTAGGCCCCTTAGTTCCAGTGAAGGGAAATCTTAACGCTACATACAGCATATAATTACTTTGTAGACGATTCTGTGCTTCCAACTTTGTGGCAAAAGTTTAGGGAAGGCTCTTTCCTGTTTCAGCATGACAATGCCCCCGTGAACAAAGCGAGGTCCATAAAGAAATTGTTTGTCGAGATCGGTGTGGAAGACCTCAACCATATCGAACACATTCGGGATGAATTGGAACGCCGACAGTGAGCCACGCCTAATCGCCCAACATCAGTGCCCAACCTCACCAATGCTCTTGTGGCTGAATAGAAGCAGGTCCCCACAGCAATGTTCCAACATCTAGTGGAAAGCCTTCCCAGAAGAGTGGAGGCTGTTACAGCAGCAAAGGGGGGACCAACTCCATATTAATGTCCATGATTTTGGAATGAGATCTTTTGGTCATGTAGTGTATACAGTATACAGTACCAGTTAAAAGTTTGGACACACCTATTCATTCAAGGGTTTTTCTTTATTTTTACTATTTTCTACATTGTAGTGAAGACATCAAAACTATTAAATAACACATATGGAATCATGTAGTAACCAAAAAAGTGTTAAACAAATCTTCAAATAGCCACCCTTTGCCTTGATTACAGCGTTGCACACTCTTGGCATTCACTCAACCAGCTTCACCTGGAATGCTTTTCCAACAGTCTTGAAGGAGTTCCCACATATGCTGAGCACTTGTTGGCTGCTTTTCCTTCACTCTGCGGTCCAACTCATCCCAAACCATCTCGATTGGGTTGAGGTCGGGTGATTGTGGAGGCCAGGTCATCTGATGCATCCCCGCATCACTCTCCCTCTTGGTAAAATAGCCCTTACACAGCCTGGAGGTGTGTTGGGTCATTGTCCTGATGAAAAACAAATGATAGCCCAACTAAGCCCAAACCAGATGGGATGGCGTATCGCAGCAGAATGCTGTGGTAGCCATGCTGGTTAAGTGTGCCTTGAATTCTAAATAAATCAGACAGTGTCACCAGCAAAGAACCCCCACACCATAACACCTCCTCCTCCATGCTTTACGGTGGGAAATACACATGCGGAGATCATCCTCTCACCCACACCGCGTCTCACAAAGACACAGCTGTTGGAACCAAAAATCTCAAATTTGGACTCCAGACCAAAGGACACATTTCGACCAGTCTAATGTCCATTGCTCTTGTTTCTTGGCCCAAGCAAGTCTCTTCTTCTTATTGGTGTCATTTAGTAGTTGTTTCTTTGCAGCAATTCGACCATGAAGGCCTGATTCACACAGTCTCATCTGAACAGTTGATGTTGAGATGTGTCTTTTACTTGAACTCTGTGAAGCATTTATTTGGGCTGCAATTTCTGAGGCTGGTAATGCTAATGAACTTATCCTCTGCAGCAGAGGTAACTCTGGGTCTTCCATTCTTGTGGCGCTCCTCATGAGAGCCAGTTTCATCATAGCGCTTGATGTTTTTTTTTGATGGAAACTTTCAAAGTTCTTAAAATTGTCCATATTGACGGACCTTCATGTCTTAAAGTAATGATGGACTGTCGTTTCTCTTTGCTTTTTTGATTTGTTCTTGCCATAATATGGACTTGGTCTTTTACCAAATAGGGCTATCTTCGGTATACCACCCCTACCTTGTCACAACACAACTGATTGGCTCAAACACATTAAGAAGGAAAGAAATTCCACAAATTAACTTTTAAGAAGGCACACCTGCTAATTGAAATGCATTCCAGGTGATTACCTCATGAAGCTGGTTGAGAGAATGCCAAGAGTGTGCAAAGCTGTCATCAAGGCAAAGGGTGGCTATTTGAAGAATCTCAAATATAAAATATATTTTGATTTGTTTAACACCTTTTTGGTTACTACATGATTCCATATGTGTTATTTCATAGTTTGGATGTCTTCACTATTATTCTACAATGTAGAAATTGTAAAAATAAAGAAAAACCCTTGAATGAGTAGGTGTGTCCAAACTTTTGACTGGTAGTGTATATCTTATCTTTAACTCTGCATTGTTGGAAATGAACCCATAAGTAAGCATTTCACTGTTAGTCTACACCTGTTGTCTATGAAGCATGTGACAAATAACATTTGATTTGATTTGATTATCAATTACATTTACACCCCTATAAAATAAAATATATCTAATCTAATAGCCTATTCCAGTGCACATACAGTATATTATGTAGAGATGTAACATATGCTTTATAATATGTACAGTATATGGATGTTCTGTGTAGCCCACGACATGATGACAAGTAACGAGTGACCAGTTGAAAATATGTGGATCATAGAAATATAATAGGATAGGATAGGTGACTCTTCCTCCTCACCATCTCCTCATCCTCAGCTAGCACCAGGTCATAAGCACTCAGCGCCACACAGAATATGATGGATGTGACTCCTTCAAAACAATGGATCCACTTCTTCCTCTCTGAGCGTTGGCCGCCCACGTCAAACATCCTGCAGGAGAGAGAGAGAGGGTTGAGGGGAAAGAGGGAGAGAGTGAGAGAGAGAAAGAGAGAGAGAGAGAAAGAGGGAGATAGAGAGAAAGAGAAAGATGAAGGTTGTAACACCGAAAAAGGTAGAGAGAAAAAATAAGGTGAAGTTGATACAGGAGAGAAGTAGAGAAGGAAAGGGGATTGGAGATGGGGGGATGAAAGAGAGGGAGAAAGTGAGGGTGACATTCCATCCTTGGCCATGCATTAACATTTCATGAGATTGTTCTGAGAACAAAGGCAGCTGGAGAGAGATCCATTAGAGATGCTGGGCCGTGATAAAAGACTGCAGGGCCAACACAGGAAGCCCTCAGGGGCCATATGTATCAAGCATCTACATTTTACATTTGAGTCCTTTAGCAGACACTCTTATCCAGAGCGACTTACAGTTAGTGAGTGTATACATTTTTATTTTTCATACTGGCCCCCCGTGGGAATCGAACTCACAACCCTGGAGTTGCAAACTCCATGCTCTACCAACTGAGCTACATTCCTGCCGGCCATTCCCTCCCCTACCCTGGACGACACTGGGCCAATTGTGCGCCTCCCCATGGGTCTAAGCATCTCACAATTGGAGTTTTGATCTAGGATCAGGTCCCCTCTGTCCATATAATTACATTCATTGTGATTTAAAAGGCACAGGAGCAAACGCTTGACCTCTACTCTGAGTGTTCAGATGCTTGACGCCTAAACATTGTAGACACATTACACTGTAACAGAGGCTCTACCAGGTGAACACGCCACACAGGTGTGATTACACTGGTTATCAGGGGACACTGAGGTTATAACCCTGCTTGAGCTGTTATTCGTCCTAACAACACAGCCTCTCTATCACACATTAATGGACATTGATGTGAAGATAGATTGTATCGAGCTGACCCACTGTACCACATAGAGCTTCAACCTGCACATATGGGTTTTCACAAGCTTAGACACACAAGATGACCTAGTTTAGGACTAAGTAACAGGTTTGACTGTCCCATGGCTCCGTCAACAACCAAAATGTGAATGACTTGGCATGGAATAATCTGTACCTGTATTATGTTATCATCCACAGTCCTTAACAATGAGCTCGAAATTTCAACCTTGAACAAGTGTTAATTTCCCATGTACTGGTCCACAAAGACCAGTTGGTATATAAAGGGACTGAGTCCAGTATGCTTAATTAGTTTGAGGTATTAATTTAAGAATGGGTAGTACTGTAATGCTGCTGTTGTTGCTGTTCTGCCTCTCTGTGGCATGTGCACAGGGAGAGAGTGGAGAGGTTAGAGAGAATTACATCACTCAACAGGGTCACAGGAATGGGGAGAGAGCACGGAAAGTGATGTTACAAAGACACAGACAAAACCGCTGACATCTGGAGTGAGCTGAGACTGCTGAGAGACATGGTGGTGGAGCAGAGAGTGGAGCTGAGGAACATGGCAGCCAAAGTGACAGCCGGTGAGAGCCAAGTAGAGGAGCTGAAGAAAGAGGTGATGGATCAGAGACTGGAGGTGAGTGTCACTAAGACTGAACTGCACTTCTACAAGAACAAAGAAGAGGAACTGGAGAGCAAAGATGCAGCCCAAACAGCAGAACTATTCACCATGGACCCGATTCATACTTAGGAAAAGTACACCTTTCTTATGCACAACTTTCCTATGCACTTTTCAGTAGTTGGTATTCAGACGTAGTTCCCTTGCGCACACTAAATATATTTAATTCAACAGCTGACAACCCTCCCACTTCCTGGCCAACAGATTTTCTTGTGGAGTTCATTCAATAGGGTTTTTAGTACATTTATCTAAAGCCACCCCTTTACATTTGGTGTACCTGAATTTTCTAGACAAACTCACTAGAATGTATGGAGAGAACGGTTCAGGGCCCGGTTTTCCAAAAGCATCTTAAGGCTAAGTTCCTCATTAGAACCTTCGTAGGAACATCGTTAAATCTCTGAGCTGTTTCCCAAAACCATTGTTACTAAAGTTGCACTTGAAAACGCTCGTTATTTACCGTCTGCCTCAGGCCACTCATAGAACAGCTAAGTGCGTCCTTCGTTGCGTTTTTTCCCTACCGTGTCACTTTAAACACAGAAGATCTCTGCTAAACATACAATCAAGACGTTGATCTGTCTCTCTGTGACCGCCGATAACGAAGTTAATACAAAGTGGTGATGTTAGTGCTTGCCCATTACTGCTTATCACTTATTAACAATAATTTATTCACATTACAATAAAATATTTAAGTTGTTGTATATATTACATTTGTTTTATTTGATGACTTTATTATTTTATTCCAAGTTATCATCTCATCTCTATAGAGCTGCTGCCTATGCAGTCTGACAAAATCACTATTTTGTAGTTCTTCAAAGTAAATAAGGCATCATTTTATGACTGCTGAATACCACCTATTAATCACTTAGATCATGTATTTTCACGTAGAGATACCTCGCAAAGCAACAGCTGCTCTCTATATCCCCTCACAATCGCATAAAAGAAACACACAGACTGGACAAGTAGGTGCGCAATGGATTATGATCATTGTAGTTAATTACCACATATTATGTGCTTAACTATGCAGAATATTGGCCTGTTGGAAACTACAACTTTTAACTCTAGAGAAACTGTGCAATGTAGGCATTGAGCTCACAGAACGAAATGGAATTCAAATAATTAAACCGACTTGGTCAATTAGTTGTTTAAAAAACGAAAAATAATTTTTTTTCGCTGTCAGTGTGGATGGGTTTCCATAGGCTACAGCCTCGGCTTGGGTCTCCAAATCTTGCTCCTGTAAATTATGAAGCCAGAGGCCTACAATTAAAATTCTGAAAAACCACACAGCTATTTATACTTCACTGTGGAAAAGAGGCCGAAATACCTGTCTTGTTAACATGCTTTTCATTTAGCTGAAATATGACTGGTTTCACATTTGTCTCCAGAGATCATAAGGTAACATATATGTAAACAATTGTAATTTAGCCTACGCTACCGGTCAAACGTTTTAGAACACCTACTCATTCAAGGGTTTTTCTTTATTTTTACTATTTTCTATATTGTAGAATAATAGTGAAGACATCAAAACTATGAAATAACACATATGAAATCATGTAATAACCAAAAAAGTGTTAAACAAATCAAAATATATTTTATATTTCAGATTCTTCAAATAGCCACCGTTTGCCTTGATGACAGCTCTGCACACTCTTGGCATTCTCTCAACCAGCTTCACCTGGAATGCTTTTCCAACAGTCTTGAAGGAGTTCCCACATACGCTGAGCACTTGTTGGCTGCTTTTCCTTCACTCTGTGGTCCGACTCATCCCAAACCATCTCAATTTGGTAGATGTCAGGGGATTGTGGAGGCCAGGTCATCTGATGCAGCACTCCAACACTCTCCTTCTTGGTAAAATAGCCCTTACACAGTTTGGAGGTGTGTTGGGTCATTGTCCTGATGAAAAACAAATGATAGTCCCACTAAGCCCAAACCAGATGGGATGGCGTATCGCTGCAGAATGCTGCGGTAGCCATGCTGGTTAAGTGTGCCTTGAATTCTAAATAAATCACAGACAGTGTCTCCTCTGAACAGTTAATGTTGAGATGTGTCTGTTAATTGAACTCATTCATTTTGGCTGCAATTTCTGAGGCTGGTAACTCTAATGAACTTATCCTCTGCAGCAGAGGTAACTCTGGGTCTTCCATTCCTGTGGCAATCCTCATGAGAGCCAGTTTCATCATTGCGCTTGATGGCTTTTGCAACTGCACTTGAAGAAACTTGACATTTTCCGTATTGACTGACCTTCATGTCTTAAAGTATTGATGGACTGTCATTTCTCTTTCCTTTTTTGAGCTGCTCTTGCCATAATATGGTATTTTACCAAATAGGGCTATCTTCTGTATACCACCCCTACCTTGTCACAACACAACTGATTGGTTCAAATGCATTAATAAGGAAATAAATTCCACAAATTAAATTAACAAGGAACACCTGTTAATTGAAATGCATTCCAGGTGACTCCCTCATGAAGCTGGTTGAGAGAATGCCAAAAGTGTGCAAAGCTGTCATCAAGGCAAAGGGTGGCTATTTGAAGAATCTCAAATATAACATATTTTCATTTGTTTAACACTTTTTTGGTTACTACATGATTCCATATGTGTTACTTCATAGTTTTGATGTCTTCACTATTATTATACAATGTAGAAAATATAGTAAAAATAAAGAAAAACCCTTGAATGAGTAGGTGTTCTTGTCACGACTTCCTCCGAAGCTGCCTCCTCTCCTTGTTCGAGCAGGCTTCGGCGTTCGTCGTCACCGGCCTTCTAGCCACTGCCGCTCCTCATCTCATCCATTTGTTTTGTCTTGTTTATTACACACACCTGGTTCATATCCCCTCATCAGTACCTGTATAAGTATTCCCTCTGCCCCCCTTGTCTTTGTGTGTGATTGTTTATTGTGGAGTTTACCATAGCTTGGTGGAGCTATATTGTATTTTGTATCGCTGAGATATTCACCCGTGTGCCTTGTTCTCTCCAATGCGCCATAATACCGCACTGGGGTGTTTTACGCATTGATGCGTACCGTTCCTCCTGCGCTTGACTCCGTACAAATCAACCGCCACAGAATCACACACCCAACAGCATGGAGTCAGCAGGAGACAGGAATATGCCTGGAGTCATGGAGCGGGTCCGGGAGCATTCCAACATGTTAGCCAGCTTGGGCGAAGCGATGGATTGGGTTCTCCAGGTCGTCCAACGGCTGGAGAGGAGAGGACCCGACCCTTCGGGACCAGCTGAGCGACCGGATCCAGCCACCCACACCCCAGCACCCAGAGGGATTCACCTATCCCGACCGATGGAGTATGACGGGACAGCTGCCACTGCCAGGGATTCCTCCTGCAGCTGGACCTCTATTTTTCTACCATCATCCCGGCTCCATCGGAGCGGGAGAAGGTGTCCGCCCTCGTCTCCTGCCTCTTGGGAAAAGCCCTGGAGTGGGCCAACGCAGTCTGGAGTGAAGGAGGAGACACGTTGGACAACTGCGAGGAGTTCACTCGCCTCTTCCGGGCAGTCTTCGATCACCCTCCCGAAGGAAGAGAGGCGGGTGAGCGGCTGGTCCATCTGAGGCAGGGGACAAGGACCGCGCAGGACTTTGCCCTGGAGTTTAGAACTCTAGCGGCTGGGTCCGGGTGGAATGAGCAGGCCCTCATCGACCTCTTCCGGTGCAGCCTGCGAGAGGACGTCCGAAGGGAGCTAGCCTGCCGGGATACCACGTTGACTTTCAACCAGCTGTTGGACATGGCCATCCGGTTGGACAACCTGCTGGCTTCCAGAGGACATCCTGGAAGGGGCCTGCCTGTTTCACCCCCCTTCAACCCCGGATTACGTTCCGATGGAGCTGGGTGGTGCAGCGATCCAGGAGAACGAAGGACGACAACTCCAGTGTCACTCTTGTGGCAAGTGAGGACACTCTGCTGCACGCTGTCGTCAGAGTTTTTCTGGGTCTGGAGGTGGCAGGCAGGGCACTCTCGCGTCACCCCAGGTAGCGCAAACCCACAATCGTTCAGAGCCCTCTGCTGCGCACTTCACCATACACGTCACCTTCCCTGATTACACAGTAGTTCCCCAGTGTAAGGCGCTGGTCGATTCAGGCGCAGCTGGGAACTTCATGGACAGGTCTTTAGCTAATAGTCTATGGTTACCCTACCCATTTCATTGCCCATCAAAGCACTTGACAGTTGACCATTAGGGTCAGGTTATGTTAGGGAGGTTACAGCACCAGTCACGATGATTATGCAGGAGACCCATAGAGAGCAAATCACCTTTTTTATAATTGATTCCCCTGATTTCCCTGTTGTGTTGGGTCTTCCCTGGCTCGCACTACACGACCCCACCTTTTCATGGCCGCAGAGGGTTCTCACGGGGTGGTCACGAGAGTGTCAGGGTAAGTGTCAAGCTGTTTCCGTTGGTGCAACAACGGTGGAAAGTCCAGACACTACCTCCACCGTGCACATTCCCCCCGAATACCTCGACTTGGCACACGCGTTTTCCAAAACGCAGGCAACCAAATTATCACCCCATCGGGCGGGGGATTGCGCAATAAACCTCCAGTTAGACGCTGTGCCTCCCAGGAGTAATGTCTATCCCTTGTCGCTGGCTGAAACGGAGGCTATGGAGACATACGTCTCCGAGTCCCTGCACCAGGGGTTCATACGTCCCTCCACTTCGTCTGGCTCCTCGAGTTTCTTTTTCATGAAGAAGAAAGACAGAGGTCTGCGCCCTTGCATTGATTACTGGGCACTTAATCAAACTACCATTCGCTATTGTTACCCTCTATCCCTCATCTCCTCTGTTATCGAATCAATGCATGGGGCGCGCTTCTTCACGAAATTAGATCTCCGGAGTGCGTACAACCTGGTGCGTGTCCGGGAAGGGGACGAGTGGAAGACAGCATTCAGCACAACCAAGGGGCATTACGAATACCAGGTGATGCCGTACGGGTTGATGAATGCTCCATCAGTCTTCCAGTCCTTTGTGAACGAGGTGTTTCGGCACATGCTTGGTTGCAGTGTGGTGGTCTACATCTATGACATTCTGGTGTATTCCGCTACGCGTGCCGAGCATGTGTCCCTGGTTCGCAGAGTGCTGGGCCAACTGTTGGAGCATGACCTGTATGCCAAGGCAGAAAAGTGTCTGTTCTTCCAACAGTCCGTCTCCTTCCTCGGATACCACATCACCACCTCAGGTGTGGAGATGGAGGGATACAGCATTTCAGCCGTGCGTAATTGGCCGACTCCAACCACGGTAAAGTAGGTGCAGCGCTTTATTGGGTTTTCCAATTATTATCGGAGGTTTATCCGGGGCTTTGGCAAGATCGCAGCTCCCATCACCTGTTGAAGGGTGGGCCGTCCCGGCTCCGCTGGTCTGCTGAGGCTGACAGGGCTTTCAGTAACATGAGGGCTCTGTTCACCTTAGCCCCGGTACTGGCTCATCCCGATCCATCAATACCGTTCGTAGTGGAGGTGGATGCGTCCGAGGTAGGGATAGGTGCTGTCCTATCCCAACGCTCAGGCATGCCACCCAAGCTCCACCCCTGTGCCTTTTTCTCTAAGAAGCTCAGCCCGGCGGAGCAGAACTATGACGTTGGTGATCGGGAGCTGTTGGCTGTTGTCAGAGCCCTGACCGCGTGGAGGCACTGGCTTGAGGGGGCGAAAAACTATTTCCCCGTCTGGACTGACCACCGTAACCTGGAGTATATCCAGGCAGTGAGGAGGCTGAACCCTCGCCAGGCCAGGTGTGCCTTGTTCTTCACCTGGTTTGATTTCACGTTGTCATACATACCAGGTACTAAGAACGTGAAGGCAGACGTGCTGTCACGGCTGTACCACACAGAGGAGAGTCCCATAGACAACACCCCCATACTCCCATCCTCCTGCATTGTGTTGCCGGTAGTGTGGGCGGTGGACGCGGACATAGAGCGGGCGTTACGCACAGAGCCATCTCCATCTCAGTGCCGAGCTGTGCTGCGGTACGTGCCGTCTCTTGTCCTTGACCGTCTTATCTTTTGGGCACACACGTCTCCCTCCTCTGGTCACCCAGGTATTGGCCGTACAGCGCGCTGCCTGACCGGGAAGTACTGGTGGCCTACCTTGGCTAAGGACGTGAGGGTGTATGTCTCCTCCTGCTTGGTGTGCACCCAGAGTAAGGCACCTAGGCACCTCCCAGCGGTTAAGTTACATCCCTTACCAGTTCCACAATGGCCATGGTCCCACTTGTCAATTGACTTCCTCACTGATCTTCCCCTCTCTCAGGGTAACACCACCATCCTGGTCGATGTGGACCGCTTTTCTAAAGCCTGCCACCTCCTTCCTCTGCCCGGTCTCCCCACGGCCCTGCAAACTGCGGCAGCCCTGTTTACTCACGTCTTCCGGCACTACGGGGAGCCAGAGGACATAGTGTCTGACCGGGGTCCCCAGTTTACATCCAGGGTCTGGAAGGCTTTCATGGAATGTCTGGGGGTCTCGGTCAGCCTGACCTCTGGGTTTCACCCCGAGTCTAATGGACAGGTGGAACAGGTGAATCAGAATGTGGGTAGGTTCCTGCGGTCCTACTGCCAGGACCGGCCGGGGGAGTGGTCGGTGTTCTTTTTTCTTTTTCTTTTTTCTTTTAGGGGATAGATCAGCTTTAATATTGCAGATAGATTGTAACTTCCATCAATGCAATTGTCTGCATCGCTTCCAATCCCCCATATGTTTTTTTCCCCTCACAAATATATATATATATATATATATACACACATACATACATACAGTCATGGTCAAAAGTTTTGAGAATGACACAATTATTGGTCTTCACAAAGTTCGCTGTTTCAGTGTTTTTAGATATTTTTGTCAGATGGTACTATGGTATACTGAAATATAATTACAAGCATTCCATAAGTGCCAAAGGCTTTTATTGACAATTATATTAAGTTTATGCAAAGAGTCAATATTTGCAGTGTTGACCCTTCTTTTTCAAGACCTCTGCAATCCGCCCTGGCATGCTGTCAATTAACTTCTGGGCCACATCCTGACTGATGGCAGCCCATTCTTGCATAATCAATGCTTGGAGTTTGTCAGAATTTGTGGGTTTTTGTTTGTCCACCCGCCTCTTGAGGCTTGACCACAAGTTCTCAATGGGATTAAGGTCTGGGGAGTTTCCTGGCCATGGACCCAAAATGTTGATGTTTTGTTCCAGAGACACTTAGTTATCACTTTTGCCTTATGGCAAGGTGCTCCATCATGCTGGAAAAGGCATTGTTCGTCACCAAACTGTTCTTGGATGGTTGGGAGAAGTTGCTCTCGGAGGATGTGTTGGTACCATTCTTTATTCGTGTTCTTAGGCAAAATTGTGAGTCAGCCCACTCCCTTGGCTGAGAAGCAACCCCACACATGAATGGTCTCAGGATGCTTTACTGTTGGCATGACACAGGACTGATGGTTGCGCTCACCTTGTCTTCTCCGGACAAGCTTTTTTCCGGATGCCCCAAACAATCGGAAAGGAGATTCATCAGAGAAAATGACTTTACCCCAGTCCTCAGCAGTCCAATCCCTGTACCTTTCGCAGAATATCAGTCTGTCCCTGATGTTTTTCCTGGAGAGAAGTGGCTTCCTCGCTGCCCTTCTTGACACCAGGCCATCCTCCAAAAGTATTCGCCTCACTGTGCATGCAGATGCACTCACACCTGCCTGCTGCCATTCCTGAGCAAGCTCTGCACTGGTGGTGCCCCGATCCCGCAGCTGAATCAACTTTAGGAGACGGTCCTGGCGCTTGCTGGACTTTCTTGGGTGCCCTGAAGCCTTCTTCACAACAATTGAACCTCTCTCCTTGAAGTTCTTGATGATCCGATAAATGGTTGATTTAGGTGCAATCTTACTAGCAGCAATATCCTTGCCTGTGAAGCCCTTTTTGTGCAAAGCAATGATGATGACACGTGTTTCCATGCAGGTAACCATGGTTAACAGAGGAAGAACAATGATTTCAAGCACCACCCTCCTTTTAAAGCTTCCAGTCTGTTATTCTAACTTAATCAGCATGAAAGAGTGATCTCCAGCCTTGTCCTCGTCAACACTCTCACCTAAGTTAATGAGCGAATCACTGACATGATGTCAGCTGGTCCTTTTGTGGCAGGGCTGAAATGCAGTGGAAATGTTTTTTGGGGATTAAGGTTATTTTCATGGCAAAGAGGGACTTTGCAATTAATTGCAATTCATCTGATCACTCTTCATAACATTCTGGAGTATATGCAAATTGCCATCATAAAAACTGAGGCAGCAGACTTTGTGAAAATTAATATTTGTGTAATTCTCAAAACTTTTGACCATGACATATATATATATATATATATATATATACATAAATACACATACATATACATTTCTTTAAAAACATTTTTTTTCCCTTCATTACTTTCCAACCCCACCACCCCTTCTCTAATTGGAGTAAACTAGTGAACAACAATGCTTAGGCCTCTACTTCCAGCTTAAGCATACTATATACATTTTATGGACACAGTCAATTTTACAATAATTATATTTTGTTTGTTTTTACTCCTGAACTTCCTCTACCCTCAACCTCTACGTTCATTTTCATGATGTCCATCCGGTTTGCTTCTATATGCCATATCTTTCTAACTGTGCTCTTTCACAAAAGCTCTCAACCTATAACCTATATACTAATTATGGACACAGTATGCTTACATTATTAGTTATCTTGTTGTTATTAGTTGTTGTTAGTTGCTATTAGTCCCATCCTTCAACTCTATTCAACACCACCCATCTATCTCTTAACACCATCCATATTGGATTTCCATTTGCCATATATTTTTCAACTGTACTGTAGTGTTTTACAAAAGTTCTGAACCTTTCTATTCTCATTGTTTCTACAGATGGTAAATTGAAAAAAAAAAATTGTTGCTAAAAGTATTATTATATTATTGATCGATTGACTATGACTTTTCAGATCACCCAGTAATGCTATCTGCAGGGTTAGCTCCAGGTAAATATTGCAATCCTTCAGCCATTCCTGGACCTGTGTCCAAAAACAAGCTAAAAATGGACAGTACCAAAACAAATGATCTAATGATTCTGTCTCTTCGCAGCAAAATCTGCAGAGCTGGGAAGATTGTATCCCACATATATATATATATAATATTATATTGGTAGCAATCATTTTATATAATAATTTAAATTGAAAAATTCTACGTTTTGAATCCGGCGTCGTTTTGCATATCAGTTCATAAACACTATGCCATGGGATCGGTACGTCAAAAATCTCTTCCCAACTATTTTGCAATCTATACGGGACGGCTGTCAATCCTTTGGTCCTTAAATGAAACGGGTTATTTATCATAGTTTTCTTTAACCAATTATGTTCTTTAATGCAAGGCCGACAGACAAGTTCCTTACATTTTCCCCCTTCCACTTTTCTCTTCCATTTTTGTTGTAATGCTGCAATTATTTGGTTGTAATTTTGGGTAGAGCAGACATTTCCATATGTTTTTGTTAGCTGCATGTGCAACATAACTCTACCAGTCCTACCGATGATATCGTTTACGAAGATTATACCTTTTTGAAAAATTTTGTCCAAAAGAAAAGGGTTTTTATCAATTAGTATATTTGAGTTTAACCACAATATTTATTGCATTATTTGTTCTGTCGTTTCTGGAGGATTAAATTGAAATTGCAACCAAATTTCTATGGCTTGTTTTAGAAATAGAGATATTTGGGAGATTATTTCCTTTTCAAATAACTAAAAGTGTGAGGTTGTAATCTGAATAACGGGAAAAATGCCATTCTTGAACATTGGGTGAGACAATCTTACTAATTTGCTAGAGAACCAGGTCGGATTTAAGTATACATTTTGTATGACTGAAGCTTTTAGTGATAGGTCTAATGCTTTAATATTTAATAATTTCTGTCCTCCGAATTCATTTTCATTATATAAATAGGCCCGTTTAATTTTGTCTGGCTTGCCGTTCCAAATAAAATGGAATATTTTTCTTCTCATATAATTAAAAAAACTGTTCCCTAGGCGTAGGCAAGACCATAAGCAAATAGGTAAATTTGGATAATACTAAAGAGTTAATCAAGGTGATTTTTCCACAAATTGACAGGTATTTACTTTTCTATGGTAGCAAGATCTAATCTATTTTTGCTAACTTTCTATTACAATGTATTGGAGTGAGATCATTTATTTCATTTGGGATATGTATTCTGAGTATATCCACATCACCATCAGACCATTTTATTGGTAAACTACATGGTGATGTAATTTTTTTATTTTTTAGTGATCCAATACGTAATATAGTACATTTATCATAATTTGGTTGTAATCCAGAGAGGTTAGAAAATGTATCTAGATCCTCTATGATGCTGTGGAGGGATTCAAGTTGTGGATTTAAAAGAAAACATGAATCATCAGCGTACAATGACACCTTTTTTAAGCCCTGGATTTCTAATCCTTTGATATTATTGTTGGATCTGATTTTAATAGCTAACATCTCGATGGCCATAATAAATAGATATGCCGATAGTGGACAACTTTGTTTCACTCTTCTTGACAGTTTAAAACTTTCTGAGAAATAGCCATTATTTACTATTTTACACATAGGGTTACTATACATGATTCTAACCCATTTTATAAGAGATTCTCCAAAATTGGTCAGTGTTCTTTCCATGGGCCAAATATGCCCAGAACTCTCTCCGCCACTCCTCCACTAACCTATCTCATTTTCAATGTGTTTTAGGTTATCAGCCGGTCCTGGCACCGTGGCATCATAGCCCTGCGGTGGATGACTGGTTTCGGCATGCGGCTGAGACGTGGAACGCTGCCCACGTCCACCTCCAGCATGCCGTGCATCGCCAGAAGGCCAATGCTGACCGCCACCGCAGTGAGGCCCCGGTCTTTGTACCGGGTGATCGGGTCTGGCTCCCAACCTGGAATCTGCCCCTCCGCCTGCCCTGCCGGAAGCTGAGGCCGCAGTTTGTGGGGCCTTTCAAAGTCTTGAGGAGAGTAAACAAGGTTACTTATAGGTTACTACTCCCTCCTGTCGGCGCGCTGCTGAAGCTGCGCGTCAAAGGGTGGAGGGGAGGGGGTAGTACTGTCATGACTTCCTCCGAAGCTGCCTCCTCTCCTTGTTCGGGCAGGCTTCGGCGTTATTCGTCACCGGCCTTCTAGCCACTGCCGCTCCTCATCTCATCATTCTATTTGTTTTGTCTAGTTTATTACACACACCTGGTTCATATCCCCTCATCAGTACCTGTATAAATATTCCCTCTGCCCCCCTTGTCTTTGTGTGTGATTGTTTATTGTGGAGGTTACTATATTGTATGTTGTATCGCCAGGATATTCACCTGTGTGCCTTGTTCTCTCCAGTGCGTAATACCGCACTGGAGTGTTTTACACATTGCTGCGTACCGCTGTCTTACCAAATAAACTATTTATTCTGTGATTTACCCTCCTGCGCCTGACTCTGTCCAAATCACCCGCCACAGTTCTGAAACTTTTAACCGGTAGTGTATATTTACAATCCCCTTATCCAAACAGATTACTAATTTACCTAGTCCTTATCAATAGCTCTTATTAATTTATATATTACAGTGCATGGAGATTGGTGTTATTTCTATCTGAAAAAAGAATGTACAGTGGGGAAAAAAAGTATTTAGTCAACCACCAATTGTGCAAGTTCTCCCACTTAAAAAGATGAGAGAGGCCTGTAATTTTCATCATAGGTACACGTCAACTATGACAGACAAAATGAGATTTTTTTTCTCCAGAAAATCACATTGTAGGATTTTTTATGAATTTATTTGCAAATTATGGTGGAAAATAAGTATTTGGTCAATAACAAAAGTTTCTCAATACTTTGTTATATACCCTTTGTTGGCAATGACACAGGTCAAACGTTTTCTGTAAGTCTTCACAAGGTATTCACACACTGTTGCTGGTATTTTGGCCCATTCCTCCATGCAGATCTCCTCTAGAGTAGTGATGTTTTGGGGCTGTCGCTGGGCAACACGGACTTTCAACTCCCTCCAAAGATTGTCTATGGGGTTGAGATCTGGAGACTGGCTAGGCCACTCCAGGACCTTGAAATGCTTCTTACGAAGCCACTCCTTCGTTGCCCGGGCGGTGTGTTTGGGATGATTGTCATGCTGATAGACCCAGCCACGTTTCATCTTCAATGCCCTTGCTGATGGAAGGAGGTTTTCACTCAAAATCTCACGATACATGGCCCCATTCATTCTTTCCTTTACACGGATCAGTCGTCCTGGTCCCTTTGCAGAAAAACAGCCCCAAAGCATGATGTTTCCACCCCCATGCTTCACAGTAGGTATGGTGTTCTTTGGATGCAACTCAGCATTCTTTGTCCTCCAAACACGACGAGTTGAGTTTTTACCAAAAAGTTATATTATGGTTTCATCTGACCATATGACATTCTCCCAATCCTCTTCTGGATCATCCAAATGCACTCTAGCAAACTTCAGACGGGCCTGGACATGTACTGGCTTAAGCAGGGGGACACGTCTGCACCGCAGGATTTGAGTCCCTGTCGGCGTAGTGTGTTACTGATGGTAGGCTTTGTTACTTTGGTCCCAGCTCTCTGCAGGTCATTCACTAGGTCCCCCCGTGTGGTTCTGGGATTTTTGCTCACCGCTCTTGTGATCATTTTGACCCCACGGGGTGAGATCTTGCGTGGAGCCCCAGATCGAGGGAGATTATGAGTGTGTCTTCCATTTCCTAATAAATGCTCCCACAGTTGATTTCTTCAAACCAAGCTGCTTACCTATTGCAGATTCAGTCTTCCCAGCCTGGTGCAGGTCTACAATTTTGTTTCTGGTGTCCTTTGACAGCTCTTTGGTCTTGGTCATAGTGGAGTTTGGAGTGTGACTGTTTGAGGTTGTGGACAGGTGTCTTTTATACTGATAACAAGTTCAAACAGGTGCCATTAATACAGGTAACGAGTGGAGGACAGAGGAGCCTCTTAAAGAAGAAGTTACAGGTCTGTGAGAGCCAGAAATCTTGCTTCTTTGTAGGTGACCAAATACTTAAGTTCCACCATAATTTGCAAATAAATTCATTAAAAATCCTACAATGTGATTTTCTGGAAAAAAAAATCTCAATTTGTCTGTCATAGTTGACGTGTACCTATGATGAAAATTACAGGCCTCTCTCATCTTTTTAAGTGGGAGAACTTGCTCAATTGGTGGCTGACTAAATACTTTTTTTCCCCACTGTAGATGTTGTTCCACTTGGAACTGACAGGTTGCTACATTCTAGTCTTGTGCTGATAAAATTGAAATTAAAGGTACACAGTATTTTAAAAGGACTGCTTTAGATAAATTAACAGAGAAACTAATTGAACAACTCCCTGATCAAATTAGTAGGTCACCCAGTGGGTGTTTCTGGGGTTGAATTAAATGTATTCAGTGTGCGCAAGGGAGCCACAAACCTTGTTACGCTTCTCCATAAGGTAAGTCTGAATACCAACTACTGAGAAGTGTGTAGGAAAGGCATGAGTAGGAAAGGTATACATTTCATAAGTATGAATCGGGCCCATGGTGAATAGTTCTGCTGTTTGGGCTGCATCTTTGCTCTCCAGTTCCTCTATTTTGTTCTTGTAGAAGTGCAGTTCAGTCTTGACGCTCAGCTCCATTCTCTGATCCATCACCTCTTTCTTCAGCTCGTCTACTTGGCTCTCACCGGCTGTCACTTTGGCTGCCATGTTCCTGTAACGATCCAAACTGATATATCGGTAGGTATGAGCTGAAATTGTTTCTGCATATGGAATCAGAGATGGCAACACAAAATAAACAGACATAGCATTCTTTCGTCTTTCATTATCTCTCTCTAATGTACCACATCTCTCTTCTTTTTTTGTTGCATTTGTCATTTTTATGCCATTCATTCTGTTGGTATCTTCCTGGAGATTAGTTTCCATAGCTACAGCCAACAGGATGGAGATAAAAATAAGTGTCTTTTTTCTTATCGATTGTCCCCATGTATTATTCATCCCTGACATCATGTCTGTGACAGAAGGCAAATGTCAGCCAGGCCAGTGCTCTGAGTTTATCTGGAACCAGGTCACTGTGGACTCATGTCAGACCACTTACACAGATAGACAGGAATGGCTTGATTATCATCATGTTTCTCATCGTCTTTCTGGTTGTTTAAAGCACATACAGTTGAAGTCAGAAGTTTACATAAACTTAGGTTGGAGTCATTAAAACTCGTTTTTCAAACACTTCAAAGTAATTTTTCCAACAATTGTTTATAGACAGATTATTTGCTAGCTAATCATTTCACCCTCTCCCATGGCTGTTAGCTAGCTACCTAAAGCTACATGGCTGTTAGATAGCTAGCTAACTAGCTAATATGAAGTTAGCAAGCTGGTGATATTTAATTCACTTAGCTAGCTATACAGTATGTAAAGTTAGCTAACTAGCGAACATTATGTTAGCAGCTCATTTGAGTTAGCCTGCGCACTAAGTTTCTGTAGCAAGCTAGCTAGCTAATAATACATCATTTTTGATAATTTTCTAAATATACAGTTGAAGTCTTTTAGTTTACATACACTTAGGTTGGAGTCACTAAAACTCGTTTTTCAACCACTCCACACATTTGCTAACAAACTATAGTTTTGGCAAGTCGGTTAGGACATCTAAATTGTGCATGACACAAGTAATTCTTCTAACAATTGTTCCAGTGGGTCAGAAGTTTACATACAGTCAGTTGACTGTGCCTTTAAACAGCTTGGAAAATTCCAGAAAATGATGTCATGGCTTTAGAAGCTTCTGATAGGCTAATTGACATCATTTTAGTCAATTGGAGGTGTACCTGTGGATGTATTTCAAGGCCTACCTTCAAACTCAGTGCCTCTTAGCTTGACATCATGGGAAAATCAAAATAAATCAGCCAAGACCTCAGAAAGAAAATTGTAGACCTCTACAAGTCTGGTTCATACTTGGGAGCAATTTCCAAACGCCTGAAGGTACCACGTTCATCTGTACAAACAATAGTACGCAAGTATAAACCATGGGACCACGCAGCCGTCATACCGCTCAGGAAGGAGACGCGTTGAAATGTGTTCTACCCTCGTGGCTTCGAGTCTCGAGTGACTGGTGTTACGGAGAGACATTTTAAAATGTTGTGATTGGCAGAACTACACATAATAAGGAAGCAGCACTCACATTTGAAGAAAGTCAAAAACAAGGGGGGACAGAAAGATATATCAGTGGCTGGTCTCTTTATATTTGTGCAATGAATACATTTTGTTTTCACATTAATGTAATAATGTAATGGTCAGTTTGCCCCTGTCCCAATACACAAAGCCATACAAATATACAGACACACACTAGTCAGGTTGCCAAGTTTGTTCTGAGAGCCCTTACTTGAAGTGCAGGTCTTTGAAGGTGAAGTGTGTCTCCACGATGCCGGTGGTCTTGACTCTGGTCCGCAGCACATCCTGCTGTGTGGGGATGTAGTCTGATTTGGCTATCCTCTCCATTTCATTCAGGTAGCTGTGGCACACACACACAGAATTATGATGAGGGGAGACACTCACACACACTGGCAAGACAATCACACACACACACAGACACACACAAACAGTTGTGTAGAGCTGCCGCTTTCAAGGGTAGAGCTGCCGCTTTCAAGGAGCGGGACTCTAACCGGGACGCTTATAAGAAATCCTGCTATGCCCTCCAACGAACCATCAAAGAGGCAAAGAGTCAATACAGGACTAAGATTGAATCGTACTACACCGGCTCTGACGCTCGTCGGATGTGGCAGGGCTTGAAAACTATTACAGACTACAAAGGGAAGCACCACCGCGAGCTGCCCAGTGACACAAGCCTACCAGACGAGCTAAATCACTTCTATGCTCGCTTCGAGGCAAGCAGCACTGAAGCATGCATTAGAGCATCAGCTGTTCAAGATGACTATGTAATCACGCTCTCCGTAGCCGATGTGAGTAAGACTTTTAAGCAGGGCCAGACGGATTACCAGGACGTGTACTCCGAGCATGTGCTGGCAAGTGTCTTCACTGACATTTTCAACATGTTCCTGACTCAGTCTGTAATACCAACATGTTTCAAGCAGACCACCATAGTCCCTGTGCCCAAGAACACTAAGATAACCTGCATAAATGACTACCGACCCGTAGCACTCACGTCTTTAGCCATGAAGTGCTTTGAAAGGCTGGTCATGTCTCACATCAACACCATTATCCCAGAAACCCTAGACCCACTCCAATTTGCATACCACCCCAACAGATCCACAGATTATGCCACCTCTATTGCACTCCACACTGCCCTTTCCCACCTGGACAAGAGGAACACCTACGTGAGAATGCTATTCATTAACTACAGCTCAGCGTTCAACACCCTAGTGCCCTCAAAGCTCATCACTAAGCTAAGGACCCTGGGACTAAACACCTCCCTCTGCAACTTGATCCTGGACTTTCTGACAGGCCGCCCCCAGGTGGTAAGGGTAGGTAACAACACATCTGCCACGCTGATCCTCAACACGGGGGCCCCTCAGGGGTGCATGCTCAGTCCCCTCCTGTACTCCCTGTTCACCCATGACTGCATGGCCAGGCACAATTCCAACACCATCATTAAGTTTGCCGACGACACAACAGTGGTAGGCCTGATCACTGACAACGATGAGACAGCCTATAGTGAGGAGGTCAGAGACCTGGCCGGGTTGTGACAGGATAACTACCTCTCCCTCATCGTGATCAGGACAAAGGAGATGACTGTGGACTACAGGAAAAAAAGAGGACTCAGCACGCTCCCATTCTCATCGACGGGGCTGTAGTGGAACAGAGCTTCAAGTTCCTTGGTGTCCACATCACCAACAAACTATCATGGTCCAAACACACCAAGACAGTCGTGAAGAGGGCACGACAAAGCCTATTCCCCCTCAGGAGACTGAAAAGATTTTGCATGGGTCCTCAGATCCTCAAAAAGTTATACAGCTGCACCATCAAGAGCATCCTGACTGGTTGCATCACCGCCTGGTATAGCAACGGCAACCGCCTCCGACCGCAAGGCACTACAGAGGGTAGTGCGTACGGCCCATCCAGGACCTCTATACCAGGCGGTGTCAGAGGAAGGCCCTAAAAATTGTCAAAGACTCCAGCCACCCTAGTCATAGACTGTTCTCTCTGCTACTGCACGGCAAGCAGTACCGGAGCGCCAAGTCTAGGTCCAAAAGGCTTCTTAACAGCTTCTACCCCCAAGCCATAAGACACATGAACAGCTAATCATGGCTACCCGGACTATTTGCATTGCCCCCCCACCCCAACCCCCTCTTTTACACTGCTCCTACTCTGTTTATTATTTATGCATAGTCACTTTAACTCTACCCACATGTACATATTACCTCAATTACCTTGACTAACCGGTGCCCCCGCACATTGACTCTGTACCGGTGCCCCCTGTATATAGCCTCGCTACTGTTATTTGATTTTACAATTTTTTACTTATCTATTTTTTACTTAACACTTTTTTTTTTTTTTTTTTTTACTGCATTGTTGGTTAAGGGCTTGTAAGTAAGCATTTCACTGTAAGGTCTACACCTGTTGTATTCGGCGCATGTGGCAAATAACATTTGATTTGATTTGATTTTACACACACACATTTGGGCATTCATGCACACTGATGCTGACACACACACACACACACATACACACACACACACACACACACACACACACATCCAAGCAGTGGCACTCAAGCAGAGACACCAATCACAGGTGTTCTCTGTTGTTCTGTTTTAGCACAACAGTGATTCTGGATTGGTTCTGTTAATCATGCACGACCACAGAGTCCATGTGTGCTGTGTTTTTCTACATTTGTTCTAGGCCATAAATAGTCATGTTAGATCACTGAGCCTGCCCTGGACCCTCTCTCTCTCTCTCTCTCTCTCTCTCTCTCTCTCTCTCGCTCTGTCTCCCTCTGCTTTTCTCAAAGGGAACATTTCTATGGAAATTGTATTTTTTTCCCGCTTCACTTCAATTGGTTTTTAAGCATGATATTTTAAGCATTATAGAAAGCAAAATTGGTAATTTGAGCAGTAATCCATGATGAGTAGAAATCCCAGAGCTGTCAATGGGAGTTAAGATTAGATCGGCCACTCCACATGCTATTCAGTTGTATGTGAGGTAACATAAGATAAGAAGCTTCACGTTCCATTTTGTCACTCAGATCAATATGTGTCAGGGATATCAGGGCTAAATCAGATCTATAACACAGAGCCATAGATCAGGCACCCCTGATGCGACACATATATGGAACAGTTTTTTCTCTCTCTCAATCTGCTTCCCTCCCTCCCTGTCTCTCTCTCACTCTTCTTCCCTCCATCCCTGTCTCTCACTCACTCTGCTTCCCTTTGTCAACCCCTCTAGTAGTGAGAAAAAATGTGATGTGGGAGGACCGTAGCACTCTGTCTGTAATTCTGTTCCATGCTGGACATAGCCTGCCTGCTCTACGGATTTAATCATCAGCCAGGGCCAGAGTTAGCTGGTACCCCAGCCAATAGTTCATGAACACAGCACTGACAGGGATACTGACTGACATGCTCACAACATCAATATAATGGATTTGGATTTCTCCACTGGACGATGTAGGTTTCCACTATACCCCTTAATCAATGTGATCCTGGTAAAGTCTATAGATATAGCCATGCTTTACCAAGATCACATTGATAAAGGGGTATAAC